TCGGAAGAGGAAATAACGGTAAACTCCAGATCAAGAGTGTATCGTACTTAACAATTAAAAGGACATTTGTTTAAACTTTCAGTGTACTTGTTATCACTTTACAAATTACGGTGAAACTATCACTTCTCGCACGCACCTGTTAGTAATTCTAATTGAAAAACTGTTCATTCTGGGGTCATCTTTCGTTGCGCTTATTTGTCCGAGCAGGGAGACTATATAAGGTTGTAGAGTATCCCTGGTCCGAGGAAATCTAAAAAGCTCTGTCTAATTTATCCCAGTAGATGTTAAAAGGGTAAAGCCTGCGACATATTTCTGCTGTTTCGATGAAACCAAAGATATCTTTCAATGAGAAACCCCGACTGACACATTTCAGTAAAATCGAATGTAGGGTCCCAAAACAAGCATAGTAAAGCCCTTAGTAAACGGCCGTAGTGATATGCTCGTCGCATATCTTTCAAATCCGAACATAGTGTAAGACTGACTGAGTTTGGTTTTACGCCGCTTTTAGCAATATTCCAGCAACATCACGGCGGGGGACACCAGAAATGGGCTTCACACATTGTGCCCATGTGGGGATTCGAACCCGGGTCTTCGGCGTGACGAGCCAACGCTTTAACCATTAGGCTACCCCACCGCCCCCATAGTGTAAGAAAGGCCAAGAACTGCAATACTTAATATTAGTTCCACTGGTGGGCTACATCATTGATAACATCTGTTCATATGATGATGTGTTTCTCCATGGAGGACTTCTACACTGCGTGACCTCTTCTCTCGATACTATTACTGTCTTTAAGAGGGTTTCTTAAACTGTCCACAAGAGGATCTACTTCAGGAGGCTTTCTAAAGCGTGGTTTAAGGAAGTGAGTGAGTGAGTTTAGTTTTAAGCCACACTCAGCAATATTCCAGCTATATGGCGGCAGTCTGTAAATAATCGAGTCTGGACCAGACAATCCAGTGATCAACAACATGAGCATTGATCTGCGCCTTTAAGAACCGATGACATGTGTCAACCAAGTCAGCGAGACTGACCACCCGATCCCGTTAGTCGCCTCTTACGACAAGCGTGAGTTAGTGAAGATTTATATTCTAACCCGGACCCCCACGGGTCGGTTTTAGGAAGAGGAAAAGACAAAACATAATAATTTACTGAAAGTGAAAGTTTTCAGAGCAATTCAGTTCCCATAAATACGACAATATTTAGTTTAGTTAAATAAATATTCGCACTTGTTCCAGAATTTACACGACAACCTTCCAATTCTTTAGCAATTTAGTTTAGTTCTGGGTTGGAATATGTCCAAAGTATGTTCATAAGGAAAATATAGTTCAGTGTTTGCCTGCGGAAATCAAGTCATACCCTGTGAAAAATATACTTGCTTTGAAAGGTAGGTGCTCATTCCTTGAAGAACAAGCCATTCTCAAGATACACAAGGACATACCCTACGTTTAATCGTTACATAAAACGCACATAAATGATGGTCGAGAATATATTGTATAGAAACAAGTCTGACATATTGTCGAATTACAAAAAGGACTAGTAAACAAGTCTGACATATTGTCGAATTACAAAAAGGACTAGTAAACAAGTCTGACATATTGTCGGAATTACAAAAAGGACTAAACAAGTCGGACTTATTGTCGAATTACAAAAAGGACTAGCGCAGAATGATGCCGTACATTTACTCACTTGCATGCTGAACAATTTCAGCAGCTATCACCGCGTGTGCCCGCATTGTAAGAAAGGGTTTGTATGATTTTCACGTGTTTTTCGTGATCATGGCTGTGTACACCAATTGACACAGACAGAGTCTTCTATGTGTAAGTTGGTTCAGCTCAACATAACGTTGGTTGTCAACAAGTGAACAACAGGCAAAAGAAGCGCGCGTAAAATCTATCATTAACTCACTTGCTCTTGCCCGCAAACCGAATAATTCTGATCAGATGGGGTCTTGTGAAAGAATCGATTATTCGTTTCACAGAAATTGAGTTGAAAATGGTCTGTACGATACACCAGTATCTATTCATAGACGGATCAAAGGGGTTATCACACTGTTTACTTATTGATGAAGATTATCATCGTGATTGCCCTGCTAATGAGTACAACTGATTAGATTATTCCTGTCAACGGAAAACATTTATCTGAAACTGATTAAGCTTGTTTAGCATTTGATGACATTTCGCAGATTAAATTAAAGGGTTGTATTTTCATTGGGCAAGACCCCTAAATATTGAATTACGAACTGTTGTGGCACAGGGATCTAAGTTTGATGTGTACCCGACAGACATGGCTATTGCATGTACAGTACGTTTGAGACAAAATGATACCGATGAATTGCAATCTAACACAAAAACAAATAGACATAAAATAATCAAACCAACGCGGACTGCAAGAAAAACAACAGACCAACTCTAAAAATGGCATAATTTTTGTCAAAAAATAAATAAGTTGTTTAAGAAACTGTCATCATTTATTTGTGCGTTTTCCAAGTTTGTTACAAGGGCGCATTGGCAACTAAAGGCACAGCGCGAAAAGCGAGATGCGCGTGCATTAGAGACATCAGAGACATGTGATTACTGCTGATTGACAAAGTGAGAGAAAATTAAAGTCTATAATTAACAAAGTCTATGATTTCTTCAAGGATGAAAATGACGGGGTGACCCAGGTATGCAATTAGTAAGTACATACAGCGCACTGCCTGTACAGCTGGGGTACGTGCCATCTCACCAGCTCAAAAATTTGTTGAGAACCGGTTAACGCACGTGCATCTCGCTTTTCGCGCTGTGCCTTTAGCTGCCAATGCGCCCTTATAACAAACTGGGAAAACGCACAAATAAATGACGACAGTTTCTTAAACAATTTTTTTATCTTTGTGGCACAAATTATGCGCAAATCATCAGTATCATTTTGTCTCAAATGACTTTTTACCTCTGTTAGCAGTTATACAGATGAAACATGAGACAGAGAGTTGCACCCAAAGCTAATTACTTGGATGAGCAGATAACAAGGAAATAACAGGAATATTGTAAAGAGTGTTTGCAAATGTTGACTTTTAGGTAGTATTATGGTCCTAATTATTATTGTTCCACAGTTGAAGACTGTCTTCGTGGTCTAGAGGATAGCACACGCCTGGAGAGTGGAACCTCAGCGGTTCAATTCCCAGCTTTCTCGTATTAAAGGTATACTACCCTACTTGTTACCCATCCTGGAGCTTGGCATGGACATAACAAGGACTGGTTGTCTTGTCACACTACTGTTTTGGAGTGAAGTATCTATGTTGAACTAAAGCATTATATGTTAGTTCAGGGATAATCTACGTCTTCTATTCTCCCTGGTCAGTTGTATATTTGACAAAATGTACACAGACAAGTACCAGTTACAACACACAGACATTCATTTATCCCTTAGAATTGGTCTTCAGGCAACTCACCGGCTGCACAGTATCCCTGACTTGGTTGAAGCATGTCATCATATCACAGTTGGGTAGATGAATGCCCATGACTTGATTATTTTCACAGACCCATTTCACCAGTTACATTGTCTCTGTTGAACAGGTCTTGCAGATACAATTACACAGAAGCCAGCAAAAAAACACATTACTACCTGTAACTAAAGCCCAACCAACACTTGAGACTTGCATGTATTTATTTTCACCAGCATGAGTGAAGTTATTTCCCCAGTGATGTTTTCAGGCAAATAAATCATACATTTATTATGACCATTATTAATACAAGACAGCAATAACCACATTGCCAACACTTCACCTTTTCATTCTTAGTTTCTGTAAAGCATTTAAAAAGCACCAACAATTAATCATGATAATATTCAATATCGGGCTGTCTAAAATTTGACTTTTCCACTTTAGCTCCCAAAAGCTAACCAACAAAAACGTTGATACACACCATGCAATATCATTCCCTGTCTTTAGCTTTATAGAGATAATTGCCTCTGTATATAGGCAGTTACAGCACTAATTTATCTCAATCTTGTTTTACTGAGCACTCAAATTGTCTAGCTACATTACCAGAGTTTATCAGCTGGAGACAATGTCTCACTCTTACACCAAGTACAGTAAAAAGTGTTTTCAATGAACATGCTTATAGTGAACTGATGGGTATAACTTTATAACCCTCGCTTACTGTATTTTTACATTGTGTCACCCTAGACTTGAAATTGGCACCAAACTGTGAGGTCTGGTTCCTCTTTAAGTATTTAAAATTAGTCACCTGGGAAAACAATTTTAAAGAATAGAACTAGTATATTTGCAAATATTATTACTTATGGATATTTAGATTGTTTTTCACTTAGCAATAGGAATCATTCTGTCACAGCAATTCAATGTTTTCACAAGACTTTACACCTTTTCAGATCCATTGCAAACCACAAATATTCATCGGTACGATCCCCACATTTAAGTCACAGACAATAGAACCCAAATAATGTAGCAAGTCTATGCTGGCATGATTCAATGTCAGTCCAAATTTCAGGTCTTCTGTAAACAGTACCAGTGGAATATGGCAATAGCAATATAAATGCATAAATCTAATATCAGCAAAATTCTATACACAAAGTTGCAAATGCATCCAAAGAAGTTACCAACAAATATTCAACTAAAACTATTATCAAACACAAACAGGGTATGGACAATATATATGTTATTACACTGGGTGTAACAAGTATTAACAGGCATTTCCTTATATCTACATATTATAAGTACAAACAGTTGCTGTACATCTGAATGTAGACTTTCCAGTATACTGTACACCCCTTCTTACAACCCTCTAACACTGATAACTTCTAGAACATCTTCTTATTTAGTCCTATTCTGACCCAGTGTACATCATTATTAATCTGATATGCTCCAGATACCTGAGATAAAGCAACATTCTTAACCAACATGCACTGCTAAGCGGCCTTCATAAAACAGAAATTAAAAGATTCGCACAAAAAACAGTACTTATTTATGATCATGATTATTAAACAATGCCACAAAAATAGACATCTAAATGAATGTATTTATACAGATATACATTAACTTTGGACGTCACTTTGTGTTAAGTGAAAACCAATAACTGATGAATATTAAAGTCCAATCTAGCTTTGAATTTAACAATGTTTACATCAAGCAATTTTTAATCAAGAGCCTTAGAAAGAAATATACCAAGGCCTTTGAAGACTGAAATGTGAATTGGTAATTATCCTGATTAAACAGTGAACACAATACAGGTTGCAGGAACATAAAACCTTCATGAAATCCCATAACACCTTAAAGGTTTAACACCATGAACCCTCTGTGATGTGATGCATGACCCTAAGATGGACAAACCAGTTATAATTTAATTTTAAACTGTCATTTAGAAATACTTCATACAAAATCATCTATTTCATGAGAAATAAGTATTTCTCCACACATTGCTACAAACTCTGTATGGCAAATATCATTCCCTACCTACTTTATAACAATCCTTTCATCATGACAATAGGCAGAATGACATGTATATTTCTTCAAAATCCTGAAATTATCTTGATGTATTTTCGAGTACTGTGTAAAAGCGTTGCTAATGCAACTTTATAACACCCCCTACTAATAACAAACAGGAATACAGAAAATATCTATATTAATATGTAAATCTATTTGGATGATAATGAATAGTTTAACACAAATGAAACCAAAAATAATAAAACAATATCATTCATCATGATCAACACCATAATTGCATTTGTAAACCAACTTTGTCCTACTAAAATCAACCAATCCCATAGTCATGAATTTCTATACAATATTTCATGTATACATATATCCAAAATCGTCTCCATCAATTTTAATGTATCTTAAAACCCTCACTAGTGTGCATTAACCTTCAAGGAGTCTTCCTTCAGTTGACAAGTTCTTTCTTACAGTACCTCCCTACAAGTTAAAGACTGTTGGTGTCAGATCATTGTACTGTCGGTTATGAAACACTCTCCTTCCAAATGTGCCCCTACATTCAACACTTTTAATCCCCTGTTAACAACCTTTAATCCCAACTATAGATGCATATATTTCGGCAATGTTGACATTCATTGAAAGTGTGTTTTTATGTGCTAAGACCATGTTCACAAGGTGTATAGTTACATCAGTTTACAAGTGGCCTTATGACTTATTATTATTATTATCATTATTACTAAACATTGTGCAGGAATCAGGTTCAGTTAATTTAACATCTCAGAATTCTGTTCACCTGATTCAACACACTCAATGTTGTGTTGCAGTCATAAATAGTGACAATATGTTACAGAATGTACTGATCCTGTACAACAGGTATTGGGTTTGTACTGCCAGCTCCATGAAGACATGACATCCTTATGTACACTGTACAGCCATGTATCACAATGACATTAAAGCACTACTATGGACATATGTACAGCCAGACAGGTTCCGGCACATCAGGACTTGACAACAGGCGAGTTCTGTATAGCAGCTTGCTGGAGGACGGGCAGAAGAAGCTGGAAGCCATCTTGTATGTACGTGGACGAGTTGGAGGCCTGTAACAAGAGTCAGTCAGGTGGATTCTTATCTTATTACTTCCAGTTTAGATAATACATAGGGACATGTGACTTTGCCCTTCACATCTGATTGTTGCGAATCATCAAGTTGAGACACTGGCGGATCAGACAGTACTGTTATCTCAGTTGACTAAATCTGAAATGAGCCTTTGTTCCATTCAAATCACTTATGCTTAAGAGTTTAGAGAGAAAGTATAGTTAAAGAGAAAGTTACAAATTTAGGAGAAAAGAGAGTTAGGGAAAGGAGGGCAGGGAGAGGTAAGATTGTGAGGGAGGAGTGGTGGGGTGTCAGGGAAAAATATGGCTAATAGAGGAGAGGGGAGGAAGAGAAGGGGGGAGAGGAAAGGGAAGGTAGGGAGAGGTAAGATTGTGAGGGAGGAGGTGTGGGGTGTCAGGGAATAATATGGCTAATAAAGAAGAGGGGAGGGAGAGAAGGGGAGAGGAAAGGGAAGGTAGGGAGAGGTAAGATTGTGAGGGAGGAGGTGTGGGGTGTCAGGGAATGATATGGCTAATAGAGAAGAGGGGAGGGAGAGAAGGGAGGGAGAGAAGGGGGGATGAGGAAAGGGAAGGTAGGGAGAGGAAGGGAAAAGGATGGGGAGACAAGGGAACAGAAGGGAGAGAGAGGTGGGGAGGAGGGAGACTGAGTACATGATCAGTGAGTGAGTGAGTATGGTTTTATGTCACTTTTAGCAACATTACAGTAATATCATGGCGGGGGACACCACAAATTGGCTTCACACATTACACCCAAACCTGGGTCTTTGGCGTGACGAGCGGACGCTTTAACCACAAGGCTACCGCCCCGAGTACATGATCAGAAAAAGGATCCAATGACATCACAAGGCCAACAGGCTACAACGTGTCTGTTTCCATGTGTAGGTCATTCTCAACAACTCCTTATACCTACTGTTGATGTGACACATCACCTTGTCACTAGCATCTGGGGTCTACTTAATGCTACTTGATGAGAATGAGGACATGTTTTACAGCATCTGCCACTCACCTCCAGATACACGTTGGTGACGAGGGGTGTCACAACAGTAGCGTCTTCCAGATCCTCCTGGTGAAAACAAATTAAGTAATAAATACTCGGTTGCCAACATACAAACACCTCAATCTTGGACTCAAGGAGGATCCACATCCTACAGCAGCTCACAGTTGATACAAATAGAATGGTTTAAGTTTGAGGAAATTCATCCTTTATTTGCTCGACCCGAAACCATTCAATTGTATGATGCAGGCACATGGAACTGTGAAACCCTGCATCAAAAGTGGATGGAGGTTGGTTACCATGGTTATATAGTAGGTCAGTGGTCATAGATAAATATTTCTGGGATTGATTGGATGAGGGTTTGAATCTCAGACTGCTATTCATCATGGCTGTCCACCATTCAGCCATATCTGGTAGTACTCCCACATGTCATGCAATCATATACAGTGAAGCCCCGTTAGTCCGGACTCCGATAATCCGGAAGTCTCGCCTCCCGGGCGATTTCAGCTTGTTACCAATCTATGCCTATATAATTTGCCTCGATAATCCGGAAATTCGGTTTCCGGAACCGGACAGTAAGTAGCTGTCACCAATCAGTAAAATAAACAGTAAATTGCTTCACAGTCCGGACGCTGTAAGTCGTGTTCACGAACCGTAACAACACCGCCCGGCGATGTTTACTTAATTAACTGGCCAAGTGGGTTGTTGTTTTAATTAGAGGAATAATTCGGACATTCAAGGCATACTACAATAGATCGCTTGTTAGACATTACCTCATCTGTGCTGAGGAAGGACGTGATCAGACACGTCGGATCAACATGCGGATGTCACTCGGTAAAATTATTGATGTGATGAATTAAGCTTTACATTAAATGCTTATTTGTTTTATCCAGATTCGTGTCGTTTTTGTAATTCTTAGGGAAGCAACTTGGGTCTTGATTCAGTAGTCCGGAATATTCGCAATCCGGACGAATTTACTGAGAAACGCAACCGTCCGGATTAACGAGGCTTCACTGTACCTGATACACTGTTGAGGGAGTCAAACCTACTCACTGTTACGTTAGGTGGTATAACTGAAGCAGGGTGTGTTTCACAAGAGGAAATGTTCTAGCCTTGGCATCTAAAATCACAGTATCAGATCTAAGACAATTGATTAAAAAAAAAAGTCCCTGCATCACACAAACCTAATGAATGTAATATAAAATGTTCAGATCAATTTGATAATCAAGAATAATATATTGATAAATCTTAATAAAATCAAAGCGATCTTAGCGCCAAGGTGATCGTAACTCCCATACACACTGACTTATGACAGTCTAAGGTCCTTTGTACAACCTCACCAAGATATAAATGAGATTGTAGAAAGAATCCACATTACATTCTCAATACATGAAGACATACAATACCACATTTCCCCGGTGGCCAGGAACCAACTGATGGGTACTTACACTGACTTTGTGTAGACACTGAGTAAACTTGGTGGAGAGAATTGAGATTTCTGTGCAAAGAACCTGGGTCAAACTGCAAAATAAACACAACAAAACTAAGACAAACCCTGTCAAATTGAGATACAATTAAATCTTGTGTTTGTTTACGTTTTCCCAATCTAATTTTGCCCCATAATAAAAGAATGTTATATAAAATGAGGGGGTCAGCAAAATATGATACAGTCCTAATTCCAATCTTAAGACACTAAACTTTGGTGGAAGCCCCAACTGTTGTCCAAGATTCTATCCAAATGAAGTTAAAACAGCATAAGTTTGCTGTGGTTAGTGCACTGAACCTTGGCTGTCTATCCCTATTGTTGTGCTGTAAGGAGGAAGATCTGCAATCTGCACAGTTGTGTCCCTTCTATGTGGCAGCACCCGGGATCCTTTAACTGAGCTAGTGATTGAAAGTGCAGCTAAACCCACTGACCCACATGACAAATCTGGTAAGTGTAAGTGACTGACCTTATGTGTGACCAGCGATTCACTGCACCAGTGTGATGGCTACCCTTTCTGTCGACACACAAGTCTGACCTCTGGCAGATCAGAGTTTACTACTTGGCAACCCCCTGAAGATCTGGACTAGAATTGTTCTTCAGCAAACCATGCTTGTCCTTAGAGTCAACTATCAGGATTGGTGGTCGATCTCATAGACTTGGTTGCTGTATGTTATTGCCTCCTAACTGTATGTGATGTCAGTCACTGGATTGTCTGGTCTAGGCTACATTATCCATATGTCGCTGACAGCCTTCTATTTCCCTTTTATTTCAACAGAGGGCTGCTTCTCCACTGGCTATATGTAGAGATTTGTACGTGCCACCCGTATTTGGCTAACCCGCCAAATCTCGTGCGTTTCATGCCTGTGACGTGTGACACTTTCATGTCACCATCCGACCATGTCGGACGCATACAACATCTTTCTCATGTTGTAATGTTCATATTTCACAGGTAAGCACCCTCTCTACATATATTCTTTCTACATCTATATCATTGCTAGTATATATATTATTGTCATCAACATAGTAATAACATATATCTTAAGTTAGTAATTAATCGCATGACCGCTATTGTAAACTTTCTCTCGCGTGGATCACTTACTAACTTAAAGCACTAGCATTGCATGTAAGACAGTGTGTGAATGATCAATAATTATGATTTTATATCTACAGTATACTAAATCATCAGTTGTATATAATTTTGGCTGATCGCTAATGCGTGACGTCACATCAATTGTAAATATCCCGGACGAAACGCTTATGCGTGACGTCATATATATTTTATCAATTATGTAATTTTTTGAGTAAAATTGATATTTTATACTTATCCTGACTCATGCTCTTTTGCTTGTCCCCTTCCTCTTGCGAACATAGTGGAACACTTGTATCTCCTTAATTGAAGCTCCCTTCAATGTAAAATCACTAATTGGTACTCACCCACGAGTTACCTCCCCTGCCGTAAGCGCGGGAACAGGTGTCGCCACCCTCTGGCCTCATGCTTCACTCTCTCCTGATTTTGCGAGCCCAACACTTGAATTTACAGGGAAATCCAAAGTGTTATGTGGGGAGGATGGGAGGAGTTAACCTCATGAGTCAGGATAAGTATAAAATATCAATTTTACTCAAAAATTACATATTTTTCCTTATCCTGACTCATGCTCTTTTGTTTTGTAGAATCCAATCGGAGAGGTGGTGGGTAAACAGAATACTTTGGATTAATTAGTGATTTAAGTAAGTGATATTGTAATAACCCTCGCGGGAACTTCATAAGGCATTGAGACTTAGGATATTTCCTTATAATAAGCCATAGATATATACACTATAAGTGGGTATTACCTTACTAATATACTGATATATCAATATATATATATAAACTGCTACTCTAACGTAGCTGTACACTGAATATAACTCAGTATGAGCTTAAGGTTGAATAACCTAAGCTAAATATGTACATAGCCCTAGAACTCCATGGAGTTATAAGCTAGTGAATATATGTATCATATATCTAATAATCTACGTGGGGGTGAATATTAACGCCATCTACGAGGGACTGTCAATTGCTGAGCGAGGACCAAAGGACCGAAATGATGAATGCCAGAGACGCCCTCGGTGGTGATATCTCTGAGATAGTGATTAGCAAACACCATGTTAGATTTCCAAAAGCATCCTTCCATAATTGTATTCAATGAACAGTTACCATGAAGGGCGAGGGTGGATGCCAATGCCCTGATTTCATGGGGATTTGATGCTGTTGGAGGGTCCAGTCCTGCTGCCTTATAGGCTGCAGAAATGACAGTTCTTATCCATATTGATATGGTGGTAACGAGACTTCTGTCTGATTTGTAGGCTTATAACGGGATGAACAATCTTCTGGCGATCTTCGCTTTGTTTTGGAAACGACGCAAATAGATTATGAGAGCTCGTGCATACTGGGCATAGAGATAAGTCCAATGTATCTTGAGATCCAAGAATTGAGGATAGCGCAGGGATGTGAAATAACCTGTCTGGTTGACCTGGTAGTTGATTTTTGGCGATGAAATCCCATCTTAATCCCAGGTGCGCTGTCTTTGATTTTCATCAAACTGTATCCTCTCATAATCTAGAGCATGAATTTCAGATATTCTGGCTGCCGTGGCTAGCGATAACAGGAAGACTGTTTTCTGTGAGAGAAATTCAAACGCTGTTCGATTCCAATGGTTCATAATCCTCACTTTGTGAGGTGTCGTAAAACTACATTCAGATCCCAAGCTGCAGCGTGGAATTTCCGCTTTGGTCCTCCAATCGAAAGCACGTAGTAAGGCCAGTAACTCTGGTGTTCTTGTTAATTTAACACCCGTTCTCATAGAAATCACAGAACTAAGCGCGGCAAGATATGAGACAATGTCGAGCCTTTTAAATGTTTGTTTTGCCGTAAGTAACACAAATAGTCTGCCACTTGAGGATCGTAGCATCTCGCTAAAACCCTTGTTTGTTGCATAATTTTCTAAACTTTGCCACTTGTCATCGCATTGCCACGCTGCTGAGTATCGTTAAGAATATCGTAAACATAGCGTGACCGCGCTTTTATAGCCCTGGTAGAATATCCTCTCTTATTTAAACACATTTTAATACAGTCCATAATGAAGTTTGAATACTTCTGGGTTTCTCTGCACCTGTTTGGTGTGAGGATGTATTAACAGGTTTTGGCGCTTGGGTAGTTCTAGTGCCGGGTTGACCCGATATCTTGTATTAAAGGCGGAAACCACGTTCTGGCCGGCCAATAGGGTAGCGACCAAAGTGAGTTGTAGGCTCTGCGTTTGGTTGATTTTCTGTAATACTAGAGGTATTATTGCTGGGGGCGGAAACAGCAGACGCATTGAGGCCTTCCCATGAAATGCTTAGAGCCGCCTGTTGCCCATGCTTGTGGGTCTGGCACTGGTGACAATTTAATGTCGGTAGTTGATTGTTGAACCTTGTGGCGAATAGATCTACTAGCGGCTAGCTCCTATTTGCTTGATTATCTGTGCAAATATCTCTGTATTGAGCATCCATTCTGTCGGGTGACGGTAGATGTGGCCGAGAGTGCGCCTGCTAGTATATTCCTGGCTCGGGGAATGTGGCATGCTTTGACATGTAGATTTAGATCTTGGATTAATTCGAACAGTTGAAAGGTTAAATTCAAAAGGTTCGGCGATCTCGTTGAGCCTTGTCTGTTCACATAAACGCCACTGTCGAGTTGTCGGTATGTATCATCAGGTGCGCATTCTGTAGAATGTTGCTCCAATGTCTTATGGCGCTGATTACAGCTTTCATCTCTAATGCGCTTATGTGGAGTTTGCTTTCTAGCTGAGTCCATAACCCTGATGTCGTCGGTTGGAGAGATGAGCTCCCCAACCTTGGAGCCATCGCTGATCTACATATAGATGGGTCTTGAATTCCTGCTCTGCTAAACAAATCCCTCTCGAGACATTCGGATTTCTTTGTCCACCATAATAGATGAGGTCTGAGATGTATCGGTAGACTGAATGGTTGTAGGTCGCCGAGATGTGTATTGACGAAGACCTGTAACGGACGTAACTGTAATCTGCCTATGACTGTCAAGTCTTGGGCTGATGTTAGAAGACCTAGTAAGCTCTGCCATTGTGAAGAAGTGGTAGCGGTGACAGTAGAGCTGGTGGAATGATCTGTTGGATCTTGAGCCAACGGTCTTCTGGTACGACTATACGGTTGAGATTGGTGATAAATCGGATTCCTAGGAATTGCAGATCTTGGCGATGGTACTAGGTCCGACTTTGTGTAAGTTTACTAACCATCCCAGCTGTGTTAGTAGCTTTATGATGTAGTTTAACTGTAGTTTGAGATGCTGTGGATCTTGATCTACTTGTATCCCGTCGTCGAGGAAGAACGCACTCTCGCGTAGCCCTTGACGATGTAGATAGGTAACAATCGGTTTCGTTATCCTCGTGAATAACCATGGGGCTGATGCTATTCAATGGGAGTACTTTCCACTGGTAATGTAACCCGCCTTAGCCGTAAAACCGAAGGTATTTCCTGATTGAAGGATGTATTGGGATGTGCAGATAAGCATCTTGTAGATCTATACTGCCCATGTAGTCCATGGGGCTAATCATCTGCCAGAAGCTAGCGGTAGATGTATCATAGTGAACCTGGGTGGTGTGTTTTAAGTAAGTCTTGTTGAAGAAGCTCATGTTGTAAATGAGTCTGTATTTCTCCTTGGAGTTCTTCTTGGGTACTAGGAAAACTGGGGAGTAGAAACCTGGTTCGATGTTTCCTTGCTCTATTACTTCTATGGCCTGCTTGGTTAGGAGTAATGTAACCGCCTCTCTTAACTTTAGTAGTTGTTGTGCCTCTACCTCGAACTTGTGAGGGTTGACTGTTAGTGGAGGCTTGGCCTGTAGTGGGATACTCTAAACCGCTGAAGAATGTTGGAGACATAGGTGTCTTGAAGTATTCCCCAGTTTTCCCAGTGTAGTTGAAGACGCCCACCCACTTGTGACGGTTGTACTGGAACGGCTGGGGTGGAAGACTCCAGTCGTTC